TAGTAAATTATATATAATTTCAGTTTTAGCGATAATCACTATTTTAAATTTATATTGTGTAACTTTGTGTTAGCCCCTCCATTAAATTAACTATCCCCTAGATAAAATAAACTCACGCACATATATTAAAGTGTAAAATAATCATGAGCTTTAAATTTATTTTCAATAAAATTAACTCGCACGTACATATTAAATTGTGAAATATTTCACACTTTAATATATACGTGAGTTTATTTTATTGGAAATAAATTTAAAGCTCATAATTATCTGTAATAAATTAATATTATCTGTGATAAAGTTAATTTATCTGTGATATAAATTAATTATCTGTGATATGATGTTATTATCTATAATAAAATTATTGTTATCTGCGGTACAAATTAAATTAACTCCTGTTTGGCATGTGACTTAAGTCAATAAAATCCAAGCCACCTATTATTAATTATTATTTATTAATAATTTAATTGTAATTCAAACATATTAAAGTAATTTCAATATCTCTTCTTTTTAATATAATTTTTTTAATTATTCATTTTTTTTCTATTACATAAATATCAAGAAGACTATACAAATTATCTGTAAAAAAAATGGAAAATTATAAAATAAGACTACAACTATGACAACAAGAATGACAAGAACAACAAAAATAAAAAATTCTGGAGATTTTTATCTTCTAAAATTTCCTAATATAGTAAAATAAATTTACAAATTTGCAAAATATTTTTAAAATTCTATAAAAATTTTTTGAAAATATCTGTAATAAAAAAATTCCAAAAAATTTGCATACAAATTTTTTAGAAATTTTTTACTTTGAAAATATTTAAAAACTTGTGAAAGATTTCCAGAAATTTTTGTAAAAATTTCTGGAAATTTACTATTCTAAAAAATTTCCAATGATTTTTATCTCCTAAAATTTCCTGATGTTGATAATAATTACAATAAGATAGGATTTAGTCTTATTTATTGCAATATCATTCATCACTGGTCAAAAATTGATAAAACATACACATATCGGATACCTGATATGTGCATGGTGTGTCCTTAATATCGGGCATATATCGGGTACCCAATAAGTGTAGAAAATATTTTTTTACACTTATCGAGTACCCGATATATATATATAAAATATTTTCTACACCTATCAGGTACCCGATATATGCCCGATATTAGAGACACACCATGCACATATCAGGTACCCAATATGTGTATGTTTTATCAATTTTCGACCAGTGCATTGTATAAAATTTATTTGCAATTTTAAATATTTGTTCCATTTTACTTCTATTAGGTATGAACCAATTTGTATCATTTACATATACTGCTACTACAACTTTCGGACTATTATTCATCTAAGTTCCCTTGAATAAGTCAGTAGTCCAGCATTCCCTCATCATATAACCCAAGCCTAATAACACTATGCGACTAATTAAAGGGTTATAAAAAATTCTCCACATAAGTGGTGAAATTATATCTCTTTGATCAAGATCATCTTTCACTTTATATAGTTCTGTATTACTATGCGTAGTCAAAATTATATTTTTCCTATTATTTAATAACTCCTTCATTAAATATATAAACTATTCTGATATTTTAATTTGTCATAAAGCTAAAACTAAATAGTCAGAATTGACTGAATCAAAAGCCTTACTCATATCCTAAAATATAAGCCAAAATTCACTTTTGTTAGCTCGTGCATCTTTCATGATATTATTTATTATATGAATTAAACCCTGCGTGTCATCTCTTGGTAAACTCACATAGTTATGTTTTAAGAGAATCTCTTTTATGCTGAATATGTGTGATAATCTTTTGTTTATTATCTTCATAAAAATTTTTCTACTCGCTTCTAGTAATGTAATAGGTTTGATAATATTTAAATTATTTTTCCAATTGGTAATCTTTGGTATAAGATAGATAAAATCCTTTTTTCATTCTATTGATATATCATTTAAAATAATTACATCATTTATTATATCTTAGAATACTTGAAATCTTACCATGAGAAGATGTTTAAATCATTCATATTGTAAACTAGATTGACCTAAAGCTTTTTTATTTGATAGAGTAGAAATAATTTTTTCATCAGTTCATCTAGATCTACCATTCTTCTTAGTTCTTGATACCAGACACTATCAACACTTGATAAGGACATATAAAATTCCTTCCATTTTTCTAATAGGATACTGTTTGTATTTCTCTTTCTTATCTAGTCATGAAAATAGTCTTTAACTATTTTTTTAATGGTTTCTTCCTCAGTAATAACATGTGTGTTTTTATTTGGTATTTCTCTAATAAGACAATTCATAATAATTAATTTCTTTGGATAATCTAAAACACTGTTAATCATTCGTTTAGGATTATCCTTTAAATTTTCCCAACGACATTCAACTGTTTTTTGAATATGTTGAAGTGAGTCACATTTTTTTTGCACATGTAATATTTTAATATGTAATGCTTTCTATTCTTAATGTCTCTAATAAATCTTCTCTCTTGTTATTTTCGTTAAATATTTTATTTATGCCATAATTTAATATTTCCAGTTTATACTTTCATTTTTGATTAATTCGTGATTTTTTAAAAATGCGAGTGATTTGACTCATTCTATTTTTATAAGTCTATATATTTTATTTAATGATTTAGTAATTTTATAATTTGTCATGACATTTGCCTTAATGAGATAACATTTTTTCTTCTGTTTAAACTTTGGAATTGAATGATCAGCTATTTCAATTATTATATTTTTGAATGTAGACCATATTTTATTAAGTGTATTATATTTTCTTACTAAATCCTCTTTTCTATTTGAAATTAATGAATTTTGAATTATTTTTTCTATTAAGGAAGTAAATTTTTTTTACTTTTTCTTATTCATAAGTTTTATATTGTATTTTGAATCAACTTGAACTAGTGTTTAGTTATCTATTTTAATCTACAATTTTTTGTTCATTTTTATATTCAAGAATTTATGGTCACTATCAATAATTAGATTTAACTCGACAAGAAAATATTCTTCAATTTTGTCTTCCTATTTATACGATACCCAAATAATATTAATTTGACTTTTTTCCCATGAGTTATCTCTTTGCCATATATAGTTCACTCTCTCTAGGTATAGCATTCTATGACAATTAATCAAGTCGAAACTTGTTAGCGGGAGGAAAATTTTACTCTCTGAAAAACTCGAGTTACTGTTATTATTTCTGTTCTGATAAGGCAAATGCATAATATTGAAGTCACCTATTACAATTATCTTATGTTTTTTTTCCTTACCTCATTTAAGCAATTTTTGATTTATATAATTATATCACTCTGATTATTCTTTTTACTTAATAAATAAACTTGTAATACACCAATTGTAGTCTTTCTGAATAAGATTGAATCTACACAAATAGCCTTTTCCTGATACAAGCAAAGTTTACAAACATATTTATTAAGAGTAGGGTTAGGAATCACCCTAATATTTAAACTCAATTAATCGTTTCTATTGGCTGACGATTAATCACGATTAATTGCTGAGTCTAAAATCGCAATTATAATCGTGAATCTGAAATTGTGATTATAATCGTGAGTCAATAATCGTAATTATAATCGTGAGTCTAAAATTGCGATTATAATTGTGAATCAATAATCGCGATTAATCGCCAAGTCCAGAATTGCAATTATAATCATGAGTCCAGAATTGCGATTAATCGCTGAGTTTATTATGAAATTAAAATTAGAAATAATTATTAATCACTGCTACATATAAAACTTTTATTTTTATAAGATAATATCAAAAGTAATACTAAGTAATCTTAAAAACAAGAATGAATTACATACTCTGTAGAAACAGTATATCTATTTCATTGAAATTGAGAGAATGATTAGTATTTAAAGTTCAAATGTCTAAAAATATTTAAAATAACTATTATTCACTCAATTTTGATGGAATTGATCTGTAATTTTTACAGGAAGTGTAATAAATTTTTTTCATTGAGGTTGCTTAGTGATATTTTTAATATTTACTTATAAAATAAAAAGTATTATATGTGACAACAATCGACTATTTTATATATAATTGTTATAATATAAAATAATCAGTTATTAATTATATCGTTGATCATTGTCACATATAAAACTTTTTATATGATGAATGTCAAAAA